TAAAAAAATTGTAAAAAAATTAACTGATGACGTTATCGTGACATCATTTAAAATGTTATGTACTAGTGCTATTATCTACCCACCCACCAAGTTTCATGACGATCGGACATTATCTTATATGTGTTTCAAAAAAGCGCATGTTTGATGACGTCATGATGACGTCACACTTTTTTCAAGTTGTATACATATACATATTGCCTAACAAACATAATACAAAAAGAATTGTAAATTTATCATATTGGGTTCGTGATATATCGCTTAAAGGTTCAAAACTTCAGAAATCTATATAAAATCACACGATGACGTCATGATGACGTCACCTCAATAAATATTTGCAACACATCCCGGCCTACCCCCATACCAAGTTTCAACCCAATCGGACGTACTGTTCATGAGATATAGGGGCTTAAAATATACAAGTTAACAATGACGTCACATGTCTAATGATGACGTCATAGTAACAATACTTGGCAGTGCTCAATATTTTATTGTGGTTTTAGTCTGTACCAAGTTTGAAAAAAATCGGATTAATAAAAGTGTTAAATTTTGTAAGCAGAATAAAATTGGCAATATTAAAAAAAATCTTTAAAAATCGACAGATGACGTCATCGTGACGTCATTCAAGATTTTGTGTACTAGTGTTATTATCTACCCACCCACCAAGTTTCAAGACGATCGGACATTCCCTTATATGTGTTTCAAAAAATCGCATTTTTGCTGACGTCATTATGACGTCACACATTTTTCCAAATTTTGTGCACTTATCTATTGCCCAGCAAACCTAATACAAAAAGAATTTTGAATTTATCATATTGCGTTTGTGAGATATGGCTTAAAGGTCCAAAACTTCAAAAATCTATATAAAATCACACGATGACGTCATGATGACGTCACCTCAATTTTCGTCTATAACACATCCCGATCTACCTACATACCGAGTTTCAACTCAATCGGACTGACTGTTCTGTAGATATAGGACTTTGTAATATGCATATTAATGATGACGTCACGTGACCCATGATGACGTCATCATGACGTCGCTCTTCCGCACACATCTATGCTGTATGGACTATGTCTATGCAAACTTTGAACGATATGCAACAAAGTTTAAGGGCAAAAGTGGCGTGTAGAATAAACGTGTACAAAGTCTATGGGGTTTTGGGAAAAAAAGAAGAAGAGGAAGAAGAACTAGAGGTTTATGTCTGTGTAATGAACAGAACATAATGCTTTTTCGCATTGATGATTGTTGATTGTTGATGTTGATTATTGATGTTGATGATAAGGGTTGACATTAGAGGGTTGAAAAACAGCGGTCGTACGTAGTTATTTTGTAGAGCAAAATTACAAAGAGTCAGGTATGGATCCTAGACACCAGGATAAACGACTGTTGCGAGCTCGAGTACAAAATGCACTGAATGGATTAATACCCGTTGGCGGATAATCGGGAATTTTGCAGGTCTGCCATTGTATGGGTTTTTGCATGATATCTAAAACGGAAATATTCGTAAAACTGTAAGTAAAAATACTTCTTATTTAAGATATAATTGTTCCAAATTAGTTAAGAAATAAAAACTTGCGGATATAACAGATGGTATTGTGCATTTGTTGTTGTTATAGATAAAGTATTTATCCTGGGAATAAAGATCAAATTTTGAGGAGAACACCGTTAACACCAATTTCGTTTTAATGAGGTTTTTATTAAATAGTTTTAGAGAGATGTGATGTTGAACCGATGAAACAAAAGCGACATTTCATTGTTCATTTTACAGCTAAAGATATTGTGGTCGGCATTACCATGGTTATGTAGTTATCACTTATCAGAATTCAATAATGAAGATCAAAAACGTGGATTCATGAATATTGAAAAATATAATTTGCTGGCTTGACAAACTTCGAGGCCAGATTGGCCGCAGAGCTTTGCAAATGTGAAGCCACCGCGTGCAGTGGTCTTTGTTGAAAAGTATTCATGGTATTTGCTACCAATACAGGTTATTATCACGTGTTTAACTAGGAGGCATTTAACCTGGTGTCCAGGATCCATGAGTCAGGTGAGGATCTGAAATAATGTTTCTGTTAAATAAACACTATTTTGAGATAAGTTTGTAAGATAATTAATTATTTTTCAAATTTTGTTAAATTCATGAATTTGCGGGAAATTTTCATGGCTTAAAACTTGTTAACAATTTGAAATATTTTTGTTAAAATTCAGTGGCGCATCCAGGATTGGGGGCTGGGGGATATAATTTTTTTGAATAAAATTGGGCGCTATCTTTTGTGGGCGCTATTTTTGACGTCAGTGGCGGCAGTTACACCCCTATTATTTCACTCGAAAATAGGTCACATACAAATCATCAAGGTCAAATTGTATGAGAAAAAAAATATGAAAAACTTTTGGGGAACTGAAGGATCCCCACGGCTTTTGATAGGATACATGGCATTGTAACGAATCACGTCATGGATTCGAAAATGAATATTTATCACGGTGTGTGGATGGATGGGATTTAGGTTGTCGTATTGTTTGATGTTCAATAAAGTTATTTCAATACAGAACAATTTTCAAAATGGACATAGTGGTTACCTCTGGACTGAGGAAAAGATGTTGGCATGCATTTACTACAGGCCACGTACTGTGCCTCCCCTCTCACCTTTTTTTCCCAAAAATTGGTTGAAGTGGTCAAAAATTGTCTCAAATGACACCACAGAGTGTCTAGAATGTAAAGTTAAGCGGGTCCCGGACCCCATGCCGTTTGGGCTTCGGGCTCGCATGAGTGCTGATCAAGGTATGTTCCCCCGCCCCCCTCACACTTTTGAAAAGCGATTGACGCCCTTGCGCTGTGTCAAAGGCAGCTCGACGAAAGCGGATTTTTTTTTTTTAATTTTTTTCATGTACATTGGATGACTGGGTGTGTAGCAAGGGTACTGTGAAGTTATTGTTATTTGCTAATGAATAGATACCTAAATTTGAATAATCAAGATGGATTGGGGCGATTGTGTGCAAATAAAAAATACCGCAATCCGACGTCGAGTGTGTGATGACGCCCTCTCGCGGGGGTGGATGGTTGGCGAGGAGAGTTAATGTGTATCAAAGCTTGCTCTATGATCAAAGTAAAGAATATGTAGGTTCTATAGACTTTTTTGTTAGAAAAAGAAGAAGTGATAAATGAAAGTAAGATCCGTCATTGGACGGGAGTTATGTTTTTTGTTGTTTTGAAATCTGGTGTTTGTTTCTGAATAGAATGAGCTTGAAAAGAAAATACAGTTAAAATTCATTAATCACTTAAAATTCATTAATCGTCATTACGTTATTAAGAGATCATTTAAGATTTTGACCAGTGTTATCAATATAATTGAAAAATATGCTTTTTAAGTGGAGTTTAAAAGTTGAGTTTAAAAGTGCTGCAGAACAACGCTTTTTTGAAAAGCACAGGATGTTATTAGTTTTTTTCTGTATTTTTGTTTCTTTATAAAGGAGTGGGGTTGTGTGTTCAGTTATTGTGTTGTATTCGCCGTCTGCATGGGATCGCTGCTGTGTGAGTTTTCCTGCTCAGTGCTCATATTTAAATCATACAGATTTTCATCCCTTGTGTTGAATACCATTTATTGTATCATAAATTGTTTGTTGAAATGTTATATTGGCTATCATTTATTGCAATTGGTAATTATTTTTATGATCTCTAATTTTGTTATTCGCGTTGAGTCTTTGTGGATGGATATTGGCGCTATATAAATATGTTCTGTAGTATAAAAAGAAATAATGAACATACTTTTTGGGGCATTTTGCAACGGACAATGGTTGTACATTATAATGTGAACTTGTAACAAGGGCGAGGAAAATAAATTGTTGTCACAGTTCTGTAAACCGTGATCCTTCGCATGTATGCAAAGCAAGTTGAAAATTCTGAGAATGTTGAAAATGTGATTAGCGCCCTCTTTGTGAAATATTCATAAAATTTATGACTGGGTAGTCTGGTTCCCTGTTCTCATTGCGCTTTGAATTGCGCAGTATATTGGGGAGGGGGGCAGTCTAGTGACTGGCGTGCGTGGAATGTTGGTGTGATCGTACTGTACCGTACGTGTATGATGTGTATCAAAATGGAGCAGAGATTAGAGTAAGATAGGCATACTCAATGCGGAGAAAACTTGTTAAAAATTGTTGATTTAATGGATGAGTTTTATATTGGATGTTATGTAATGTAAGGTTATAGAATCAGTGTGGCAGGCTTGTACCTTGTCATAGGTGTGTAATCAATTGCAAAGAAAATGCGGAACGAGCAGTGTTTTTAAAAAAAAAAAGCTAGTTTCTCCAACGCTGGTCGGCTGACCAGCGTTGGAAAAATACAATATTTTCTTGAAAATGTCAGCACACCAGGAGCCATGATTTTACACGATGCCTAAGACTTTCATTGCTTAACAATCCAGGAAGTTATTGTGTGATTAAGTTTTGTGAAGTTATTTGTAAATTGAATTGAATAAAGAGTTATAGTTAAAATGATTTTTATCTCACTGCATGGGGGATGCTCTCACTGCAGATTTTTTTTTCTTCTGATGGTGAATGTGGTATTTGCCATCTATGAAGACATTGATTATAAGTAGATTTGTGATGTTTGTGAAGAGATACAATATGACTCTGACAAAGAAATTTGTTTGCAGCCATTCATATTTGATTATGTTGTTTCAATGAGATGTATGAAGTATTGTCAATGAGAGAAGTAAACATTTTGGTCAAGGGATGATTACAAAATTGATATTTAGTGAGAAATGTTTGTTTGATTGATAAAATACCTGGGAAATTAAAAGAAAAGTTTTGAAGGCTCTGCACAATCCAAAAAAAAAAATTGTTAAGATGTCAAAGAAAAGCTGTTTGCAGCTGTTTTGGGGTTTGATGGGATGTTGCGAAAAAATATTGTTGTTTTTCTGTAGTGGTGACTTCTTTTCCTTTTTTTTTATGTGTTCACAGATTGCATCTTCAGAAGTCTTCCTTTCTGATGGAGCGAAAGGAACTAAATCCTGGTGAAAACCAGGTTCCTGGCAGGAGCCTTGTACTTGTGAACCATAACAATAACCATAACAATAACCATAACTATGAGCATGAGAACCATGAGCATGAGAACCATGAACATGAGAGCCATGAACATGAGAACCATGGACATGAGAACCATGATCTTGAGAACCATGAACTTGAGAACCATGGACTTGAGAACCTTGAACTTGAGAACCATGAACTTGAGAACCATGAACATGAGAACTATGAGCATGAGAACCATGAGCATGAGAACCATGAACATGGGAACCATGTACATGAGAATCATGAGCATGAGAACCATGAGCATGAATATCATGAACATGAGAGCCATGAACCTGAGAACCATGAGCCTGAGAACCATGAACTTGAGAACCATGTACATGAGAACCATGTACTTGAGAACCATGAACTTGAGAACCATGAACTTGAGAACCATGAACTTGAGAACGAAGCATGGGATGAGTCAGGTTCTGTGATGAGGCAGGTTTTGAGAACAAACCATAAAGACAACTTGAGGACAAACCCTGAAAATGAAAATGAATTTGTTGAAAATCGATGTGAAATGAAAGCTGAAATTAATCAGCAGTGTGGAATGGACAAAACATTTAGGAAAAAAGTGAAGGAAAGAAAGAGCTGTGATGAAAATCAGTTGATGGAGTGTTATTATTTACAGATTGTTAAACCTAAGAAGATGCTTGTGAAGAAGGCACAGGAAGAAAATGACAGACAGAGGCGACAGGAAAGACAGAAGAAAGTGAGTATTCTGAGAGAGGGCAGAAAGAGACGATTATCATTGGTTAGTAACCTGCCTGGTGTACAATGGCTTAAACAAAATAGTTGGACAAAGCACTGTGGTAGTGGTCGTCTCTTGGATTATGTAGAAGAGATTTGGGAAGGAAATGGTAGAAAGAGGCCATCAAGACAGCACAAGAGAAAAGTGAGGAAACAAGTGTTCAAGCAGAATCATAATATCAGGAAGGGAGGTAGGGTAGTAGAGTATCGGATGAGCAAAGAGGATAGAAAGTTACATGAAAAATGGCAGAAAAATAGCTGGTGTCATACAAAACAAAGTTTGAATATAGTGTTGAAGAGTATTAATGGTTTGCAGGACAAGAGAAATAAAAAAACAGAGGGTGTGATGGCTGTAGAAAAGAAGGTGGGCTGTAAAAGGCAAGTGTTGGAAAAATGTATGAAGAGACAAAGAAATGACAACAAAATGACAACATGTAGAACTTTTGAGAGTGGAGGAGAAAATATGGTAGATATAAAATGTGATGAAACTGTCAATAGAGAGTGTTGGATGTGTGATAAAGAGATCAACATATTTCAATGCAAAGTACAATGTAGTTGTGGATTATGGTATCATGTTGAGTGTATGGGATTTACCAATAGTATTGGAAGTGACATCTTGGCAAAGAAATCGGTTGTATGGATTTGTTGCAAATGTCGAGGAAGTAACTATTGTAAATCTTTATGTTATCATGTAGACATTCCTATAGATGTGATTATGTATGAGGAAACATTGATGGATGACTTTAAAGAAAATATGACGGAAAAGTCTGCTGATGAGAAATTTGACAAACAAGAGAGTGTTGAAGGTAACATAATGACAGGAAATGATTGTAAACATGTTTATAAGATTGTAAAAGAAAATATGGAATGTAGACAAAGCAAGAGAAACTACTTGAGACAGAATTCAACAAATTATAAAGAAATTGAAAATGAGAAATTAAATAAGGGAATTGAGTGTGGGAGTGAAAATGAACACACTGAATGTGAAAGTGAAAGTATGAATTTGAGAGAAGAAAGCAGGAATTGGACAGGTTCGGTGAAGTCGCAGTCTGTAGTAATGCAAACTGGAGGTTATTCATTGCGTAGTAAGAAAGAAAGTAAAAACGAGAAAGGTATTGATAATGGAAAATCAGAAAAATGTGTTGTGAAGGGTGATAGAGGATCAGGCAGTGGAAGAGAAAAGAGCAGTAGACATGGGAAGGCACATGATTTAAAACATATTGATCGAGTGACTTGTGAAAAAAAGAAGTGTGTAGAGTATAATCTTCGCAGTAGTGGGAAAGTGTCATGTGAAATCAAAAAGGATAAAGTAGAAGTAAAAGTTAAAAGAAGGGTAGAAGATATGGAGAACTGTTGTGAAAATACTTTGACTGTAAGTAAGAAAAAGACACGATCTGTTTCACAAGGACAAAACACAGGGAAGGGTCTCAGTTCAAATGAAAAGCAATATAGGATAAATATTTTTGGTGAACCAGGTACAAATTCTGAAGTGAAAAAATGGGATGGAGAAATCAAAGTTGTACAGGGTTCTTTTCATCAAGGTGATTATAGGTTTCAAGGAAATTCTGGTAAACAATGTGTGGCAAATTCACTTTGTTCAATGTTGTATCGGAAAGTAAAGAATTTGAAGTTGTGGACTTTTAAGGACATGGATTTCGTATTGAATACAGGAAATGAATTGTACAGTTTTCTGTCTTGTAGTTCAACAATAACACATGATTATTTGATGGTTAATGAGTTGCCTAATGAAATAGATGTTTTTAGTAAACATTTCAATATCAACATTCATGAACCTATTTGTGGTACTTTTGGACAAGAAGGAAATTGTATTGAATTTAATACGATTTCGCTGAGTAGTGGAGTACAGGAAACATTAAAAAAATATTCAGCATGTTTTATCTGTTTTCATGGGAATACATTTTCAGTAAATGTTGAAGATGGAATGTATTTTATTTTTGATTCACATTCTAGAAATCAGAATGGTCACCAAGACAGTGAAGGAAGAAGTTTGCTCAAGTGTGTATCATCATGGCAAGGTGTGTATCAGTATTGTATTGAACTTGGAAAATCTATGAATATTAGGGATGATGAACAATTTGAAATTACAGGTGTAACGATCAGCATAGATGATGATATAACTATTTGTAAATATGACGACAGTGGTAATGTGAGGAATGCATGCATCAGGCGTAATGTACAGGGAAAGCAATCAAATGAAAGTGATATAGAGATTCTAGAAAGTGCTGAAGGAGTTACTTATCAGTTTGTTCCTTTAACTTATGAAAATAAGATTGATTTGTGTAGAAAATGTGGTATTTCGAAAATATGTCTAAATATTGATAACACTGCAAATTCATGTGAGAAAATGGGAAGACCTGACTGTATAAGAATAATTCAAGGAGATGGCAATTGTCTGTTTAGAGCTATTGCTTGTGCAATATCAGGAACAGAAGATAATCACATGGAGCTCAGGGCAGCAACAATTGATCATTTATTGAGAAATGGAAGGAAATGTCAGTGTTTTCTACGTGAAGGTTACACGACAGTGGAAGATTATGTAATGAAAACAGAAATGTTTAGTAATGGTGTATGGGGCACAGAATTAGAATTAATGATTATAGCAAGTATGTTGGATGTTGATATTTATACATATGATGATGTTAACAATTGGTATAAATTTTGTACTACTTATGCATGTAATAGGAATGAAGGTGTCTTCAAGTCAGGAATATATTTGTATCACAGAGGACGTGTACATTATGATTTGGTTACAAAGGTTAGAGATATTAGTGAGGAAGAAAATACATGCTTTAATATGGAACAGTGTAAGACACATAAAAAAGTGGAAGCTTTAAAACAATCACATCGTAAAAGAAGGAAACGTGTAAATTTGAGACTGAAACAGAAATTAAACAAAGAGAAAAGTAAGGAAAGATACCACAGAATGAAAAAATTTAAAAGTGAAGGCAAAAAAAACAAGTGTAGATTGCGAAATAAAGACAAGTATGTTAATGATGAGCAGTATCGAAGTGATAAGAAATCTTATGAAAAATGTCGATATAAAGAAGATAGTGTATTGAGGGAGAAGAAAAAATCTGTTAAGAAAGAAAAGTATCACAATTCTAATAAAACAAAACAAGCTGCAATTGAGTATGAAAAAGAAAATTATAAAAAAAATGGTTCAAAGAAAAAAAAACATATGAGAGAGAAATATGTGACAAATGTTCTATATAAAGATGATAAAATTAGAAGAGTTAAACATTGATATCATGAGAATGCTGAACTAAGACGAAAGAAGATATTTGTTGCAAAACAGAAGTATCAGATGAATGAAGAATATAGGCATGCAAAGATAAAATTGGCAAAAAGAAAGTATATCAGTAATGAAGTATATAGAAAAAAAAAGATTGCTAGCGCAAAGGCCAAATATCATTGTAATGTAACATATAGAAGTAATCTGATTAAAAATATTAAAAGGAAGTATTACTGTAATAGACATTATCGCAGTTCATTAATTGAAATAGGAAAAAGAAAGTACCACAGTGATGAACTATTTCGTAGGAAAATGAAGGACAGGAATTTAGAAAGATCAATGAGAAATAGAAGAAGTAAAAGTGTAATGAGTAATGTTATACGAATGTGGAGGGAAGAAGTGTCAGCAGGACCGGAATATATTTGTGCAGTTTGTCATAAACTTCTTTTTCGTAAACAAGTTATTAAGTGTAAGGGAATTAAATATAGTAATGTTACATGCATATCTGATAAGTATTTGCATATATGTATGAAGAACATATGTGGTAGTAATTGTCTTGTTTCAAAATCAAGTAGATCAAGTTTGTGGATTTGCTATACATGTCACAGGAAATTGCTTCAGAACAATATACCAGCAGAAGCTTGTGCAAACAATTTGGCATTGGAAGATATCCCAGAGGAATTGAGCTGTTTAAATAGTTTGGAAGAACATTTAGTTGCAATTAATGTTGCATTCATGAAAATGATATCTTTACCCAGGGGAGGTCAGAATGCTGTGCATGGGCCAGTTATTTGTGTACCCTCAAATATTTCAGAGACGGTTTCAACATTGCCTAGATGTCGCAATAATAATCAGTTAATCAGAGTTAAGTTGAAAAGAAAATTATCATTAAAAGGATATTATCAGTATCAATATGTAAACAGAGAACATGTTGAAAGTGCACTTTGTTATTTGAAAGAGAATAATTTGTGGTACAGTAATATTGATTTAAACCCTGAGTGGGAAAATCCATTGGAAGATGGAAATGAAGAAGGAGATGAAAGTGATAAATCAAATGACAGTGATGAGGACACAGATGATGAACAAACAGATGAAGAACGATTGACAGGAATTGCTTATGATACATGTATGCAGCCAGTGAGTGTTGCCTCTGAGATTTTAGATCACTATTTTGATGATGTAGTATGTATTGCCCCATGTGAAGGAAACAGCCCAGTAAGAGTTCTAATGGAACAAGCAAATGAGGCAAAATGTTTTCCAACATTATTTCCACGAGGTGTGTTAACATTTACTGACTACCGTGAAGGAAAGTTGAGTCTTTCTAGATATTTTCATAACAGGTTAATGAATGCAGATAATAGATTTGCCAAAAATATTCAGTATGTTTTCTA